GCATGACTATCGTTGTCTCTAACTGTAATGAGCAATGAACATGCCATCATGTTTTATTTTTTCATGTCTACTTAGGTCTAAATTTTCTCTGTGAACTAATTCAGGCAATATTCATATATAATATTCCTAGCTCCCACCGAAGTGACCTTTTCCTTTGATGTGGGGAATGGACCATGTGAGGTCACCATACAGTCACCTACTCCCTTTAATGACAACCGGTGGCATCATGTAAGGGCAGAAAGGAACGTTAAAGGGGCATCTCTTCAAGTGGATCAGCTCCCTGAGAAGACAAGACCGGCCCCTGCCTATGGGCATGTTCGCCTGCAGCTCAACAGCCAGCTCTTCATTGGTGAGTGCCAGTGACTGGCCGATCTGCATGTTAGCTGCAGAGATGGACCAAGACAAATCTATGAAAGTGCTTTTATTTCATTGTTTGTGTGTGTGTGTGTGTGTGTGTGTGTGTTGTATGCTTATGTACTTGTTCATGTGCATGTGATGTGGGTGTGGAGGCCAGAGGTTGATGTAAGCTGTTTTCCTCAGTTTCTCTCTACCTTATTTTTTGAAACAGTCTCTCACTGAACCCGAATCTCAGCAATTTGGCTAGGCTAGCAAGCCAGTACACTCCAGGGATCTGCCTGCTTCTGCCTCCATAGTATTGGGATTAGAAATGCACACAGTCACACCTAGCTCTTTTGCATGGGTGCTGGGGATCCAAATTCAGATCCTCTTGCTTTTTCAGCAAGCACTTTACTGACTGAACCACCTTCCCAGCCCCCAAAGTCCTTTTAATAAAAACTGGAAATGACTACATTTGGCAGCATTTGCCAATGACTCAGCATGCTCCAAGAGCATGTGATAACACATTTCATAGCTGTTGTTGTCAGCTGTTTGCAGATGAGATAATGGAGTCCCATGTTGGGGGACCCTGCTGCTAAGGTTGTAGTCCTCCATGTCTGGATAGCTCTAAGGGGCTTGGCTCAGAGGGGGCCTCCTGCTCTCTGACTGACTTACCTGGAAAGTGCCACCAAACACAGATGCCTGACCTTATTTGGAACATGACCTTTGGCATAGTTACCTGCAATAAAACTACCCCCAGGTTTTTTCTATAT